GTGTGTGTGTGTGTGTGTGTGTGTGTATATTCCACATGAAAGATGGGGGGGGGGTCTCCCATCTGTTTAATATGTACAATGCTACAGTACATGTGTTAGTGCGAAGGCCAGCACGTAGTAATAGGTCCAAGTTTCCCGCCGCGGTTGTATAACCTTTAATTATGTTCATCACCAATATCGTGATTAAATCAGGACCTCATTATAGTGTGACCTTATTCTTTGGTTCTCCACTTTTGGAACATCCCCACTATCCGCCCCCCACCATGACATCCTCCATCCAACACCACTCCACCCATTTCCAGTCCTCCTCCCTCTCCTCTGCCAAATGAAGTATATTTATGGCACCTGTGCTGGAAAAACAGTCTCCAGGAGACGTCTCTCTAATTTCATTTTCAAAATGCCAGCTATAAATTTATCAAATGGGCTGTATCGAATCCGAGTCACACGCAGTGCCATCCGTCATGGGCTGTCCCTCAGGGGCCTGTAGGCGTACTTAAGCCAGCCAAAAACCTCTGCTGGCAGGAGAAAAAGACTGAGGGTTGAGAGGGGGGGTGCTTGTAGGAGGGAAACCGGATGGATGTACTGGAGAAATACGCTGAGGACAAAGATGTGTGTGCATATCTCTATGTGCTAAGATTGATATGCCCAAGCATGAATAAGCTTGTGCATGAGTGTGGATGCATATGTGTGCACAGAGGTCAATGCTAAGTCTTCCACACATAGGAGCCTCACGATGGAATCTCAGTTAAGCACTTTGGCTGTCAATATGCCAGCGTAATAATTGATTAATTGCAACACAAGTTAATTGATTGTTTGGCTCGTTTTTGCATTTGTAAATCCCTCTTAGTTCAAACATCACTTTGAACTTCATCCCCCTCCGCTGCCTCTGAAAACTCCAGGTTCACACGCTCTGTGCCCTCCCATTCCCCTCACATCTCTCACTTCCTCATCCTCTGTACCTGACTTTGGCACCTTCGCCTCTCGCTTTAAAAGCCTTTGTCCCCGTTTCCCTTTTGTCTCACCCCTCTTTTCCTCTGCCGATCGTTTCTTCTCCTCTCAGCATTTATCACTGTGCAGGTTAAGCCAGGCGTGAGTGAGGGTAAAGCAGCTTAGTACTAACAGGGCTAATGAAGTCAGGCCCCGTATTCCTCTGACGGGGATCAGTGGTGCTACTCTGTGAAGCCTGTCAGCGTTTAATGATTAGATGAAACATTCAGACACCCGCTCGGTGAAGACAGGCACACTGATATGTGGTAATACCCAACTGTGGTCTCTCTTACGCAGATCCACAAGCATTTATGCATGTGCACGTGCTCGCTACACAGGGACATACAGTACATGCACACATACACTCCCAATCCTCCCACTTTGCCATGGTGTTGATTTATGACTCAAACATGGCATCAAGGGGTATACACCGCAAAGTGATTGGAAGAAAAAAGGAATGACAGAGATTTAGAGAACCAGCAATCTGGCTATTGATTCCTGTCATGTGCAGGAAAGTGGAGAAAAAAATAGGCTGCATGCAAGCAATTTACCCCTCGCCTTGATGAGTAGATAGTAAACAACTCCACACACTCTATTCAGGATACATGCTGTGATCCATGGTTTTTCACTGCTTTTCAACTCTGTTAAAAAGGCATGATCGAAGAACCCTCACAGGGCCAACATATCTACACTTACTCGAACATTTCAAGATTCAGCTCCCAAATTGAATTCTTTGACTTATTCTTCAATTCAAAAAGCTGAGGAATGAAGTGACAGAGGTCAACAAGATGCATGCATGTCAGATTGAAAGTGGGCCTGCAAGAGACGTTTTGCCCCATTCGCCACGCATGTTTATACTTCTCAATTCAAATCTGTTCAACATCTTCAATCCACTGCTCAAGTGGGAACATTTTCGATCTCCACAATAGAAATTACTCTCCGGAACGTAAAATAACATGTTTAGCTCCAGTAGAGGAAACTTGGTTTGCACAGTCTCCGTAAAAGCAGTTCTATAAGAAATGTTTTATTAAAATAGTATCCGTTGTAAGGATTTATTTAAACATTGTTAAGAAAAATTGTGGATGGTTTATTTTGGCTACACCAGTACTTTGCATAGCTGCTCGGTCACCATTGATGTGAACGGGTGATTGAGAGGCCAATTGTATAGCAAGTTTTTGTTAAAGTAGACAATCCCAATATAAGTGTAGGCCATTTATCTTATACTGTACCATGTTATCTTTTTTTTCTCCTAAATCAGTCTAGCATTTTTAAGTCTGTTAATTATTCACCTCATACATTCCTTCCCATTCTGGTACGGTAAGCCACATATAAAGTACGAGTTTAGGATATGTCTAACAATGATACAGAAAGTTTGAGTGCAAAAACTAGGCCACTGGTTTATTCAAAAGAACACACCACCATTTAACATAGCAATTAGAAAGGCCCACAGCTTAACTCTGAATATCGGATACCTGATAATCACGATGCACTAATCCTCATGTGATCCTCTCAGCTATTAACATACGCGTAAATCAAACTCCAAAAAAGCCTCCACCAAACACCTTTACAGAGGGTGATGATCTTGCAGCATTGCTCAGAGACACGATAATAAACATTAAGTTGAGCTGTAGCTAGGGTGTAAGTAATGATGTGTGAGAGACCTTATCTGGGCTCATTAAAAAAGTAATGCAATTAAAACCTCAGCAGGCTCCATTGCTTCTGTTCTGACCACTTTTTCAAGGTAAAAGGAAAACGGCCATCACAGAATAACCCTTTTACCTCTGATGTTCTCTACAGGTGTTAACATGTTGATCTTTTTTTTTTCTCCACTGACACAGCCCTAGTTTAAGCCGTACATGAAATTAGATAAAATGACATTAAAATGTAGTTTGGAACCAATCGCTTTGCTCATTGATCAAAACTAGATAGATCCCTCAAATGCAATATACAATGAATAATGAGTGTAACACTATACGGTATAAATGGGAGGGATGAGTTATTTCCAGTGTTGGGACTAACGCGTTACTGTAACGCCGTTATTTTTGGCAGTAACTAGTACTCTAACGCGTTATTTTTTAAATTCAGTAACTCAGTTACCGTTACTACATGGTGCGTTACTCCGTTATTTTTTTTATATATTCTCGGCTCCCAGACGTTGGTGAGCGGCGCCAACAGCGAGGCGAACAGAGATGAGAACTGTACTGTACTTAAGTACAGTACTTGAGTAAATGTACTTAGATACTTCCTGTGTCACATGCGGAGACGCTCTGTTTGTTTAACAGCTTAGTTGGAATTGGGTCTAAGATACAGGTTGATGGTTTAGAAGAAAGAATCATTGAA